TTTGATTTATGATTTTGGGATTTATGTGATATTAAACTTATTTTGAAAACAATATGTAAACGGTGATGGTTTTTGGAAATGTTTAAAAGTTTAAAAATTTTCATGAATTTTAAGGATGTTACACTTTATGAGTCCATATGCTTAGATCTAGATTTTTATGATTTATCCTTCTTATGCAAAATGATGTAGCGGTTGGAATCCATAAAGTTACCAATTTTATGGATCTCTGGTGTCCCTTGAGTAGTAAAGTTGCTAGATCTGGAATATGGTTTAGTTTTATGACTCTTGCATGAGATTTGGTTTCATTTCCTCCTTTTGTGCCTTAGTTAATGTCATTGGACATGCATGTCTAAAATGCTACAATTTTTATGATGTTCTGGAGTAAATAAGACTTTATGGAGGATTTGTTTGTTTATTCAAAAAGGGATTAAGAGTTTTATTAAGAACATCTATCCAGAGCATCCTCATGATGTGAGCACTTGGGTATCATGACGTGAGGATGGGTTCCTCAACTAATTTAGCTTTTTAGGTCACGACATGACCACAAGAGGGTTACAAAGTGACAAGTGGCTGTGGGATTTTTAGTAAGGATCTGACATTAACTTTGACCAAGATTTAACCAAGTTTAACCTAAGGGTATTTTGTGTTGTATTTGAGATTGGATACTATTTATTGAATAAGTGACCGGTAGAACGGATAGTTGGAGTAGTGACCTGTTCATCAATCTTTTTAGACTGAGATGTGAGGTTTTCTCATAGTTCTTGTGGGTCAAAGACACCAATGTCAACCTATTAGTTTACGTATCCTGGTATATAGGATGGTGCTATGCGGTAGTGATCTATAGATATGTCTGTTAGTCTGTTGACTGGTTATATGATTATATGTTGCTAAGCATATGTTATTTGTCATTTATATGTCGACATAGTATGTGGCGTTGAGACTGTACTGCTTTGTGTTGTCAGTCAACAGATCGGGGCATTCTAACCAGGAGGTTGTAGGCTAGGGGTAATCCAACTAGGAGGTTGTGGACCTGGTATGTATTGGCAAGCCAAATATATGGTTGTGGGCCGGGGCATTCCAACCGTAAGGTTGTGGGCCATGGGTAATCCAACCAGGAGGTTGTGGACCCAATATATGTTGTTTATTATGTTGTGTGGTGGTACTTTAGGGGAAATCACTAAGCTTTGGCTTACAGTTTTGGTTTATTTTTTCAGGTACTTCAGAGGATCGTGGGAAAGCGAAGGCGTGATCGTGCACATCTTCCTGTTTTTATGATATTGGATCTTGGGATACTCTTATTATGATTATACTTTTGAAACAATGGTTTTTGTAAACACTTTATGGCTAATGGGTTGCTTTTGAAAAATTAAAATTTCTATGATTTTTGGGATGTTACAAGTTGATATAAGAGCCTTGTTTTGAGAGAATTAGATGAACATTCGTGTGAATCTAGACTCAAACATGGTTTTTTCAAAAAAAATCAAAAGTAACCAAGGAAGGATGCGATGTGTACGATCATCCAGATCAAGAAAGTATACCCCAAATTACACACACTGTTATTTGTTATGATATGGTAGCACAACATGCTAGTTGTATGGTAGGGATCTTCAGGAATTGGATGAGAGAATTGTCTGATGTATGATGCCTTATTCCTATAGAATTTTCTTTCTTATTGTTTGTAGGACTCTTTCGGGTGTGAATTAACTATTAGCTTAATACGTTAAGTCACATGCTGCATGGATTAAATAATTTTAGAGTGAAGGATTTGGTCCTATTGCGCAACTCTTGTCTGAGTCCAACCATTGTAGGGTTGAATCTTTTAATCTAAGATTATTTAACTTATGTTACATGTGATTGTATTCATGTAGTAGTTAACTGACACCAATGGAGGTCGTTCAGTAGTTGATGGCAAGGTGAGGTGTGAATCCTAGGATAGCCTAGGGAGTATGTAGTACTCATGATGCGTTTTTAGAAAGTGTTAGGAGTATAATTATGAGTGAGTATGGATGTAGCAGGCTAGTTTTGGAATGATTAGTCACTCTCGAGAGAGTGAGGATAGGATGTATGTGTATCCTAGTTGTTGTATTTGTTTTGGGTGGTTGTGATGATCCTTGAGAAAATATGGGTAGGTGTGGAAGGTAGTATCGACTTGTACTACTTAAAGCACGGTACCTGTATGCATAGAAAGGAAGTCACAAACCCCAAGGGTAGTCTCTTCATGTAGTCGTAGCAGTGTGTATTGTGGCATTTCTGATGCATTTTGTTTCATTTTCAGTATGGATGTAACAGCCCGGATCCCCAGGTACCTTCATTCTCATATTTATGATATTCTGTGAGGGGACTCGGCGAGTTGGGGGTCGAACTCGCCGAGTCAGGACGCGGTTTTGGGCGGGGGTTCGCGCCTGGACTCGACGAGTCCAAGGGATGGACTCGGCGAGTCCGCGCTGTTTAATGAAACCCTAATTTCCCGGTCCTAAGCCATATTTAAAGGACCTTATGGCCCTCATTTGCGGCCACCTTGAACCCTAAGAGCCTCCATACGTCTGTAAGCCCTTGTGAGTGTGTTTGGAGGCCATTTGTTCATCATTTTGTGTGATATTGCAAGGAAAGGAGGGAGAGGAGCAAGCTTGAAGTGTTGGGGAGCTTAGATCTGTTGCTATTTCTTCAAGGGAGTCTTCTTGAGGTAATTTTTAGAGCCAAGCTTCGTGTTTTGTGTTGATGTGCCAAATCTAGGGTTTCTTCTTGCATTTCTTGGCTTGAATTGGAAGTATGAGAGGTCCCATGGTGATATGGAACCTAGATCTGGACCTTAGCAGGTCCAGGAGACCCCATTTGACAAGCTTTATGTCCATTCTTTTGAGTTAGAAGCTAAGCTTGCCATATTAGTGGTTGTTTCTTCAAAATAAGCCTTGTATGCATTGCATAGCAACCAAGACTGAGACTTTACGTGAAAAATAAGTTTGGGAAGGCCAGATCTATGTATGTATGGAACGGATCTGACCGCAAAAGTCAGTTTTAGCTGGTGCATAGCATGGACTCGCCGAGTCTGAAGAACAGACTCGACGAGTCGCTTGAAAATTATCCTTGAGACCACCCTGTGTGTAGTCCCGACCGAGTTATGGGCGACTCAGTGAGTCGCAGAGAGTTGGAAAGGTTTTGACAGGAGGACCGAGTCAGGATGGGACTCGCCGAGTTGACCTCCGACTCGGCGAGTTGAGTCGCGGTGGCCCTGTGATTCAGGCCCAGGAGGAACTCGTCGAGTCTGGGGAGTACTCGACGAGTCAAAGGGGAAAAACCTTGAGGGTTGGTTAAAATGTGTAGACTCGCCGAGCCACTAGTGTGCACTCGTTGAGTCCGGTCCAAATTGACTAAAGACTGTTGACCAAGTCAACCTGTGTTGACTTGATATGGATGGTCAACCTTAGTGGTACAATTAATAATTATAGATTTATAATATCATAGGAGGATTGCAGCTCGAGGGTTCGAGTGCGAGCGATTTCAGGATTTACGATTAGCGACTTAGCGAGGCATACGAGGTGAGTCTCCTCACTATACTGTACCCGGAAAGGTTTTGACTGTATGACCGGAAGGTCGAATATGATATGAGATATATGCCTTATTCGTGTTAAGTTATATGTTATATGTGCCATGTATGATATGTTTGATTTGGGCCGGAAGGCAACATGATATGGGCCGGAAGGCGTGGTCATATGGACTGTAAGGTTGACGTGGGTAGGACCGGAAGGTTTACCCAGTCGGGACGGAAGTCCCCTGAGACACATGGACCGGAAGGTCAAGGCCTGGAAAGGCGTATGTGCATAGGTTGTATTTTGGGGAACTCACTA